GATGCACAAGCCAAAATACAACTTGGTTTTTATGTTTGAGCATGCAAAAACGATTATCTTTACAACAAATGTGGGACAATTTCTAAAGAATTATAAATATGTAAGGATTAAACATGATTTCTAATACAACTTGGAGATTATAAAATTGAAAGCTAAGTAAGAAAATTTTGACAATTCAAACTAAGAATTTAAGATGTTCTAACATGGAATTCCTAAAGCATAATAATTGATTCAAGAAAGAACTAAGCAATGAATTAATTCTTATAACATACACGAAATATAGCATGGCGAGATTAAAAAATTGAAGAACTTAAACAATTTCATGCATGATAAAAAAATATAAAGGATAAAAGAAGAAAAGATGAAGGTACTTATCTCTTGTAAACCTCCATAGCCTAACTCTAGATATCAAATTGATGGAAATAATTTGTTCCTTCCACCTTGAGCCTCCGAAAAATAACTCAAAATATTTATGAAGTTCTTCCAAGCAAGCTCTTGGCACTAGTTCCCCAATCAAGGAAGATTCCTTGTTAGGAGAGGTAGGAGAAAATCCTCCTAGAAATTGAACTCAAAGACAAGAAAAGGAGACAAGCAAATAAGCAAGTCAAATTCTCAAAGCTCATTCAACTCAAGTTGGGAAAAATACAAGCATGGGAACTCTATGTATGGATGCTCCTCCTCTCTTCACTCATTAGCCTAAGGGATGTGGGACTAATTCTCTCTTACACACAAATTTTCATAAACTCTCCTTCAAGTCCCACATAGCATATTTTTATTTACATTTTAATGTTAATAAACAACCAAGAGGTGGAGGTGGACTTTGAGGAATAACTTTCAATGTCTCCATAACATGTATATGACTCCATGTTGATTTGATTTGAATATGTCTTTTTTTACAAAGAAAAGAAATATTACAATTTTATAAAAATTTTACAAAGCTAAGAAATTGAAGAGGAATGTTAAAAGAATATTTGCTCCAATGAAGAAGAGCGATTAGAGAAACTTCCTCCCCTTCAATCCTCTTAGACATGGGCTCTAATTAGAGGACCAATAAATTATGGGGTTCTAATTTGATGTCCATTAAGTTGTTCCCTAGATGGTCCTCCATCCCCTCTTGTGGTAAATTGTTCGAAATTTGTAGTCGTGGTTTGAATTAGTTGCCTTGCTACTATTGGAGTTATGTTCACAAGTTCTCCACTTATAAAAGTATTGGGTTAGGAGTTGCTTACTAATTTGGTGGTGAGGACAACTTGAGCATTGTCTTTGAAATATCTCCTAATAGTCGAAACAAGTTTTCCCTATCAAGTTGCCTAATACCACATATCTACTTCCCAATAGAGGTAGTCCTTGAAGTTAAGAAAATATTTCTCAAGAAACATATGTTTTAAGCTATCCTATGTTGTAATTGAACCTAGAGATATAATATAGCCAGTTTTTTGCTCCTTGTGTAATGAAAATGGAAACACCTTGAGGTTGATGTGATCCTCACTCAACTAAAATTGCGACAGAAGAACATATTAATCAATTAAAACGATTTTTAACAAATTAAAAATACTTGAAGCACTTTAGACTTTGTAAAAGAAAGAAACTCATGCTTGAGGAGCATAGATGCTTATACCTACACAATGTAGATGCAGACACACTAATGGACTAACACTGACATCTTTTTTTGACTTCAACAAATCTTCTAACAAGACTTCCAAGATTCTTCCTATTAGCTTCTTCATCACAAATAGAAACACTTAAACAAGATTATTTAAGCATAATCTTGAAAGAAAGCAATAAACCTAAGTAATAAAAACATTAAAGTAAAGTTGTAAATTGAATTAATGTAAAGGAAAGCATGTAAAACTACTCTATGAAAGTTGTAAATGAAAGCGGTAAATGAAAAAGCGAGTAAATATATGTTTTACAAAGAATTTAAAGGTATAAAACTAAAGAGAAACATTATGCATGAAAATTAAAGGTAGAAACAAAATTGAAATGGAAATTGTAAAGCAAAATAGTAAAGAACAATGTGAAAAACAATAAGAACACATAGGTTGAATATCCAATCATCACTTGCTCATATGTTTATGATGGATTTCTAGAATTTGTCTTACAATCACAATAACTAATTCACTACAATTCCAAACAATTATAATTCAAATGAAGAAAGAAAATACAACTCACTTCCTAAATCAAGCAATCACTTAAACCTAGAAATTGAATTGATATGTAAAAGACACATTCAATCAAATAACCTTAATTACATTTTTTGTAATGGATTATAATCGGTTAGAATCATTAAGTATCAAAATCTAAAACATAAGAATCAAGTTTTGATCTATGAAACAACCACAAAAGAGAATTAGAGCATGACTAGAAAGTAGAAAAGTAGTAAAATATAAAAACAAGTGAAGAAAAAGCAAGTAAAAAGGAAGGAGAAGATGAGAAAGTAAAATCAAATGATAAGCGAAACAAATATGATCCAAAGCATCTTGAATTAATAAACTTCAAGACATTATTCGTACAAGATCCACTTGAATCAGATTTTGAAGTTAAGCAACGGAAAAGAGAGAAAACTAAGCTCTATAACTTGAAATCTAAAAAATGAAATTTAACTTATGAAATTTGACCTTCAAAAGCCTATTTGTATAACAATAAACATGCTAAATACACACAAGGCCCACAATAATGCAATTACATAACATAGATATCAAATCATGCTATTGGGTAATTGTCGTTTTGTGATAGATTTCGTTAGGCGACTACTTTGCTCGCTCGACAAAATTGATAGTTATGTTAATTGATGCAAGACGACTTTCATCGAGCGAAATACTCCATCCGCTTATCAACTCATTGAAAACTAGAATGAACCTTCTAAGATGGTCCACTCGAGCGAAATTCCTTACTCATTGAGAAAATTCTTCAAAATAAAACTTTATATTTTTCTTTAGTTAATCACTTATGCAAAAGTTAACAAATAATTTTTTAAAATCTACAAATTAAGAAATAATTTAGATGCAAATATATTTATTTCCTTTGTATACTAACTATGTTAAAAATTATTAATTAATTAAATATACTAAGTATATAAAATGTATAAATAAAACTCTTGATAAAGTGTGTTCATCAATCATTCTTGTAATTAAATTTGGTTATAATGGTTTGGAACTCTTATGAATTTGTTATTGTGATTGCAAGATAAATTATAAAAATCTATGACAATCATATGAATAAGTGATGATTCTAGAAATCTTGTGATAAAATCATTCTTATTGTTTTTACGCGATTCTTTACTATTTTACATCACAATTTCATGTTAATTTTCTCTTTTACATTAATTTTGTGTACAGGTTTCTCTATAACTTTAAGATTTTTAATGCATTATAGAACTTATGTTTACTACAATTCATTTATAGCTAATAGATTTAATGTTTGTTTTTTTACCATTCAATGCACTTATAGTTTTTCTTTAATACTTTCTTAGTTTAAGTTTATGATACTCTCGTGTACAAGCTTTCATTTATTGTTTTCTTATATTAATTTATTGCTTTTACTAGGAGATTAGGTTTATCTTCATAATTCTCAAAATTCCTTATATTTCTAGCATTTGACAATTGAGAATCAAGATTTAAACAAAATCAAGCAATTCCGCTAGAGGACATAACCTAGGTCAGCTTTAACACCTGCATTACTTTTATTGCAAATTCTTTGATGAAATTTAGGTGACAAGATAGTATTAAAGTCGATAGATCGTGTGGTGACTAACTTAGTCGAGTACGATTGGACTAGGTGACAAATCCTTGATTGTGAATCTTTGTGTTGAAAGTTTGTCCGACAAGAGTTTTAGGTAAATGAGTCTTGTTGAGTTGAACAACCGTATAAGTAAGATTACTACTTGGGTACTCATAGTTAAGAAATATACTTACCCGAGGAGGAAGTGTATTAATGTGAAAGAAAATTATACTCGAAGGAGAGATTATTAGGAATCTAAGTGTGAGTTGAAATCTTTAATAATTTATAAATAAAAAAATCAATAATATAATGTCTTAGGAATTGAGGTTGAAGATAATGTTATATTTTCTTATATAATTTGTTGATGTCCTATTTATAAGAATCTCCCGATAATATTCCCTCCAAAATATGAAACTATGTAAGTACTTATTAAATATTTTTATCTCTAAACCAAGTTCTTAACCACTAGTATTTTCACCTTTACATGTTTGCTCAACTATATATATATTCCTAAAAAAGTAATATACTATTCTAATTTTTTAATTATCTATTTAAAATATATGTAAATTTAACATTTTTTTTTCAAAATTTACTATTACTAAAGCAATTTATTACTAAATATTATGTAAACTAAATGTATATTTTTTTAAATTAAAAGCAATTAAAATATTTATGTTCCAGTTTAACAAATAAGAAAGAAATTGAGAGTAAAAAGAAAAAAAAGAGAAAAAAAGTTGTTTAATTATAAAAAATAAATGAAATTAGATAAAAGTAAGTGAATAATATAAAATAAAAATATTTATTATTAATAATAACTATTATTATTGGTTATTAGTTTATTTATATTGTTTATAATTAATATTTTTATTTTTCATTATTAATTTTTTTTTATTTCTTATTCTTTTAAAAAATAAAATCTTGTAAAAGAAAAAGAAACTCTTCCTCGTCTCTGCAATTTTATTTTTTCAAATTAGTACAACCAAACGGTGTAAATTTCAACGTCAACCTATTTGCTATTTTCCTCTCATCTGCGCAACCAATCAAACGTTGACATGCTTTTTATAAGCATTAGAGTATATAAGACAAATGGACGATAAAAACAAATTAATATAAAGTTTATTACAATACCTTTGCTGGTACATATGTGAACATAAAACAAGCAGCTAACTAAATAGAGAATTTTTCTCTAATGCAGTTAGAACAACATCAGGGACCTTAATTCCATGTTTGGACAGGGATGAATAAAAAATAATGTTTGATTTTTATTGAGTTTTTTACTTTCACAGTTTTTGCTCACGGTCAATCCTTTGTTGGTGTCTGTCTACCTTTAAAAGGGCTAAAACTTGAAACAGATCAGAAAGCTCTCCTGCTGTAATTGGAAGCAGAACTTGTGCCTGTGTTGGACATCACATAAGGCTGCAACATACAAATTTATTGGTTGTGTTCATGGGTCATGAAACTCTGACAAAGTTCGTGATATTTTTTACTTTACATCATTATCAACCTTTCTCCCCTGCCAATAATACAGATCTTTTCATATCATCAATTCATCAGTAGGATTTTCTACGAGTTCCTACATACCAGGAATAAAAAGATGAAGAGAGGTGTACAAATCTTTCACCCAATTATTCATAGGTTGTAGCCTACACTAATTAACACTACAAAAAACTTCATAATTATTAGAGGTTTATTTTCAGCAGTTATAAAAATCGTAAAAATTAAATGTAATTTATAACAAAAAATTTAACTGACACAATAATTATAATTAATTTTAAATTTTTTTATTTTATTTTTATTTATTTTCATTTTTCATTCTCTCACTTTCTTCTACCTTCTCTTTCTCTCTTCGTTATCTCTTTTTCTCTTTACCGTTTCATTCATTTTCACACTCATCTTTCACTCGTAACGTTTCATGCTAAGGTCACGTATCCTCTCTCAATCACCAATTTAGGTTTAATCCTTCTTACGTTTTACTTTTCAATTTCACATGTTTGTGATTTTTGTGGAAAATTACAAGAGTTTTATCTATGATTTGTTCTTCAATTTACAGTATATGCTAATTTCTCCTTCTCTTCTCTCGTGTGACGCATGACAATCTACATTCAACCATTTTTTGTTTTTCCTTAACCTCGGGTACGAAACTTTTAATATTTCTTTTTGGTCTCCAATCTCTCCAAGACGGACACTCGGACGGCGTTGCCGCTTCGGAGCTAACGCCGGAGGGGCGATGATGTCGGTGCTCGGCTGCGATGCAGTTGCTGCAGCCGGCGGAGCCGTTTCCTCCGCGACGTCCGGTGCGGAGGGGATTGGAGGGTCCGGCGGTGGGGGATTGGTTTCGGGCACTTCCGCCATTGTGGTCACAGTGGCAGTGGCGGAGTGCGCAGGATAAGGGAGACGGGGAGTTTTCTGGTGCGGTAGGGTGCAAGGGTACAATTACCTCTACGATTTTGCGCCGTTGGATAGTTATTATGCGGTTTTTTATCCTGCATCCAGTTTCCTCGTTTGAGTTTGTATTTTTAGTTAAGGTTATATAGCACCTCACTAGTTTTCTTGGAGGTTTAAAATTTAAGTTGTCTTGTGTTGATAACTAGCTTGTATGTCTGTAGGTGGTTAATTTTTTCACGTGGTCTTTTAGAATAGGTACTGAACATAAGAAGTTTGGTTTTGAGTTTAGGGTTTAATGCTAAGCCAGCTATGAATCTTTAATGCTAAGCCAAACTGTTCTGATCGAACTTTTCACAGATAACAACATATATATAATGCAATTGCAAGGGACCCATTTTCACTGGCTAGCCACACGTTCGTCCCTAGAACAAGATCATATCATAGCCATCCATTGGATTTTCTCTCAAACTCCACACCCACTCTATTTAAACCCTCTCCAACCCATGTTACTGCCATATTTGCTGCTGTTTTTTGCTACATTCGGGTTACTAGGAGAAGGGACACTCGTTACTGATCTAAATCTAATCACTAATATCTTCTTCAGTCATTTCAATCCTTTTGTTCTTTGGATTTTTTTCTTCCTTACGATTGTTGAGTGGGAAGTATATAGTGAATTATATTGGACGTAGATATTGGATAAAATTCAGTAGCAGCAACTGATATTCGTGTGATATTGTTCATATATTTAGAATGAATAATATAAAGACCAATTCTATAATGTTTTATTTAACCTTGTCGTGCAATCGCAAATAGTTTGATATGGTAAAAATTGTTAATTTAAATTTTAGCTACCTTAACACTTAAATATGACACTGCAACTGGTTTCTGATTATTTTTACCCTCACTATACATTTCTATCAAATATATGAATCCAATCCCTGTGAGAATGAGTGCCCCGCATCTTCTTCTCTATGTACTCTGTCTGTTTCCTGTTCTGTTTTTCTTTTCTTTTTTCACACTTCTCCTTTTTCTGAGACACAAAATGGAAAAGAAAAGTGGTTAACACACCTACTTTACCTTTTTACCTTTGCTCAACACCCCTGGCTTTTTCTTAATGAGGAACCATCAGAAATTAACATTGTTTTCAATAACCAATTAAATATGTATATTGAGCTTGAGATGATTTATTGGTATGTGTTAAACTATTTTATTGAAAGTAGCTTTATGATGTTGGGTAAATGGTGGTTTTACCTTTATGATTAACATGTTGTATAGGTAGTAGTAGTAGTGGTGTTCATATGGTAATCTTGTTGTTGAGGAGTCTTATGCAATAGGATTTCATGCTTTAGATAAAGAATGGAGAGAATAGTATCTTGTATAAAAAAAGGAAGATCGGTTTCTGTGCTTGATATATGGAAGCAACTATTTGATGAAGCCTCATAGAAGCAACTAATGTTATTCTTATTACAATACAATATATCATTTGACAATAATTTCAACAAGAGCAGAAAAAGATAAAATAAAAAGGCACTGTCGTATACAAAGGGTTATCTGGTCCCTTTGATTTTTGTTGAATTGTTTTAGTAGTCCAGGATTCTGGGTGGAGGATCCATTTCTACTTTTTAGCAAAGGTCGGTGGTTCCAAGACTTTGCAATGGAGAACTTCTCAAAATATGACCTTTTAGACAATCCAAAACATATTGTATATGAACTTCAATGGACTCTGTTTTTGCAGTGCAATTTTATAATGATTTTCATGAGCTATGACCAAAATATGTATGCAGAATTTTTAGATGGATTTAGCGTCTTTGTTTTAATCTTATCATGGAAAAATAATTGTTTATTTAATGTTGCAGGCATAATCAATGGAATTTTCCAAAAACAAATACTAAAAGAATTGATTGAATAGTCTTGTCCAGGTAAGTATTTTTCAATCTTCCTTATTGGAATTGATTGAATTTGGCATCAATAACAATATATGTTGAATTCTAATTGCATATTGAGTAAAAGGAGAAAAATAAACTTTAATTTGATGTTGCATTTAATTAGCCTTTTGTTTCTGTTATTGTTAATTTCTAATTTAACTGCATTATATTATTACCGATTTTTAATTTATGTAATTTTCTAGTGTATGTCACCGTGAATTGTGTTTTAGACTCCTGCATATGCCTTTTTCATTATTGTATTTCTCATTCACATCATCTCGACAACATTCTATATTCTTTATATATCAACAAAATTTCATAAATACTTTTTTTTAATCTAAATTTTTTATATGCATAGTATTTTTTGTTTGATAAAAACATAACATAATTATAGTTGAAGTGTGCTTACTTAATAGGACTCGACTGGGATTCTCGAGTTATGTAAGGTTCTCGCTTTGTGGATTTGAGAGGAAGTTATTCATTTAAGAGAAAAATTAGCAACTTCTCGAAGAAAATGTCAAAACATTAAAAAGTGTCATGCTTGCATACATCCAAATGAAAGAAGGACACATTCCTCCCGAGTTGGGTGTCATGTTTGGTAGTACAAGTAATATAGTTGTAAGTACTTTATAGTTTGTTTTAAATGAAATTATATTATTCAATACCTGTATAAAGTTCAATATCTTATGTATAATTTCTAATTATGCTTACATGATATGATCTTTATTTTATAGGATGAAGAGAGTGGACAAGATATGTCAACACCACAAGGAGAATCTTCTTTAGATAGTAATTTTCATAAAGTTTGACATTATTTGTAAGTATTTCATATTTTGTGTTAATAGAATTATGTTGTTAATTATTTCTATGGAGTTTAATATCTTTTATATATATTTTTAACTATATTAAGATGGTATTATTTTTATTTCACAGGATGAAGCAAGTGAATGAAATATGTCAATATCATAGGAGGATACTCATTGGATAGTAATTTTCATTAAGTTTGACATATATGTTATGAAATTTGTAGATCTATTGACATCGTATTTTGTTAGATACATTTTATTAATGAATAATGTGATGAATTTTATTGGACTTTTAGGATGAAATTTGATTTTATCTTAATTGATATTAAATTATATTTAGCTAAGTACTCTGTCAAAGTGAATTATATCTAAAAACTACAAATTTAACCATTTTTTAGTAAGAGTCAAACTAATATTTTATGTCATTAAAACAAATGAAAAATATATTATACATTTCATTAGATTATTGATTTTATTATAATGATTAAATTATTATTACACTTATGGTGGTATTTTAAAGTAATTCTAAATAAAAAAGTATTTTAATTATTAATTATAAAATTATTAAAAAATAATTTGTAAATAATAATTAAAATTTTGATTTATTGATAAAATAATTAAAAAATAGTAATTAAATAATTTTTGGTGGTTTTTTAAACTCTAATAAGTTTTAAATAATTATAAAATATTATATATTTTGCAGCGGTTTTTAATTGTTGAAATATAAAATTAATTATAAAAATAACATTTGTAACAATTTCAAATTGCAACAAAATGTTAAATTAAAATGAGAATAATAATGCATTTTATGGCAATTTTTAACTGTTGAAATTTTTATTTTTCTTTTTTGACATAAATACCAGCATTTAAAAAAATTCTATTACAAATCGTTTTTGACATCTATAAATATGACAGTTATATTAATTGTTACAAATTTTATTTGTAGCGGTTTTTAACTTCTAAAATCTACAATTTTAATCACTATAAATAACATATTTTTTTGTAGTGTAAGTGGTATCATTTTCCATTTTATACAGCCCTGAAGTGATTAATTCTCATAGTTTCTGAATTTGCAGATAACCAATAAACCCATCTATCAAATCCTCAAGAATAAATTAAGCGATGGTTTTACAATTTTTATAAAAATGCAGACTGGTTTCTGCTTCATTGATTGCTTGAGTATCGTTGCAACCATCACTCAGAAAGAAACCGCAACAATCGTTTCGAACGTTATGTTGTCATGATCGCAACCTCGGATAGTATAATCGAACATTCAAATTGTAATTTTAATTGGTAGATGGAGCGACCAAATGCAAGAGCCCAAATCGAACCCATATATATCATATCCTCCACTGCCACCGTTCAATCCTCAACCAAAAATTTGAGTCGGGCAGAAACCGAGCTTCATGGCCCTGCGTGCGAAATGACGAATCCTGTTAGCAATGTTGGCCCACCAGTGCGTCAAGAGACTTGGGCCGAAATTTAGGGAGAGTCCGGTACCATGTTGCCCGAGAGTGATTACAAAACCGTCTTACCTCAGGGATTATCTGCACTAAGAAAAACCACCTCCCTGTGGAGAATCTTGGGGAAAAGATATTATTGTGAGGTGTCTTATGAAGATAGGTTCTGTTGAGGAATTACTCCTTTAGTAGTTTCTTTCTTTTTCCCTAAAATGAGGCTAGCCAATCATTGGAAGCCATGCTTTGTATATATACGTTAGCATTGAATGAAAAATGCAGAAAAGAAATTACTATCATCCCTTTCTCAGTCTTTTCTTAGGAGGCAGCCTTGAACTCGAATCAAGGCAGTGTCACACATCAAATCCTGCTAAGTTTTTCACTTTTATTGAAAATGAAAAGAATAAAGGGAAGGAATTGGATCAACCCGGAACCATTGGGAAGGGAAGAAGTTGTATGATAAAATTAAATAAAAATAATAGGTTTAAATCTTAGTTGGGATATTTTGATTTTGAAGATATATTGTGTAGTTAATATTTCGATTCTAGATAATTAACATTTCGATTCTAGTGAGTTAATGTCGGGGTTTCAGAAAGAAAGTCAATGTTATAATATTTAAATATCCAAATGTAATTTTTATTTCATATGACATAAAATCAATAATAGATTTTTTTCAGAAATTTTTTGTTGTCAAATTGGTATCAAGAGCCAGAGTTTGAGTGATTGAGCATGAGAGAGCTTCAAGAAGGTGATGGTTAGTTTAGCAAACAGTGTGGGCC